GATTATTAAGGATATCTAGAAGAACTCTAAGATATACCTCCTTGACCAATTCATATTTCGGGGTTAAAACGTACGTACGGGATCCAGACCGGATATCACCCACCCGACAAATCATTGTTCGGTTGGTACGTAATCCACACGACTCATAGGGTGGATTATCGATTCTTGTGTTCTGCATTAAACTATTTATAGTTTAAGGGCCTGGTTAGAAATGTTGCCTTAGACTAGGAATAGCTAAGAGCTTGTTATAAAATGATTTGGACTTAGATTAAGAATAATTTAAGAGCATGGTTGAGATATTGAATATCGAATGACTTGGAATAAAATATTGAGAATATCATGAATGTTTGAATCATATATTGTGTGCATGATATCAAATGGTTGATTATGAATTGAGATTCAATTTATTTGGATGTTCGACGCTTTAGATATGCTTACTCAGCTTCATCGCTGAGCGTGTAGTATGTTTTATTTGCTACACGCAGGTAGACATGCAGAATGAGTGAATGGCATGTTCTTGGCAGCGAAAGGGGCGAGACAGTCGTGGTGGATTTATTGAGAAAATAAATGATTCTGTTATTATGAACCATGTTTAAAAATCGCTTCCGCATTAAACGCTCCGTATTTACTACAATTATGTTTGGAATTTCATTTATGATGAATAAAGTTATTTGAAATGCTTTAAATTATACGATTACCAAGTTAATACTTTAGTTCGGAAGGGGTTGTAAACCTGGACGGATTAGGGTGTTACAGTTTAGGTTGTCTTGTGTGATTTAAACATAGCTTTAGACCATAGAGTAGGCGCTCTAGTAACATAGATGAGAACTACGACGTTCTAATTATGAGGCTGTTACATATGAGGTGAGATAGCTGCGTCTCATAAGCTATAGATAAAGTGTTATCTGAATCTATACGTAGACAAACATACTGGATATGTTGCTGGATTGACCCATTATGAGAATAATATATGGGTTTAAGTTAAAGTGTTAAAATTATTCTCATGCGACCATTAATATAACTATCCTTCGACTTGAAGTCGTTAAAATATTTGATAAGTTGAGTTGCGTACTTTGAAGCATATATGATTTATGTCATCTGAAATATTGGTGGATGTACAATTATGTTTTGGGTATGGAATGAAACTTAAGTGAAGATGTGAATGACGTAGATAGAATTTATCCCTTTTTTAAATTAAGTGTAATATCTTAGGGCCAAGTGATTGATGTGACTTGGGAAGTGCATGGCCATGCCCAAATAAATAGGTTATTTGAATCCCACAAGTCAATCAAAGAATCAGTAAATCATTGATTTAACTCTAAAAAGGTGACACACCCCATACCTCGTGTTAAATCAAGATATTAGTGATAAAAAGATAAGGGTTATACAAATAAGATATGTCGTTGAAGGAACTGTTCCAAGAGCTTTATATCTATAATTTGGGGGTGATAATGTGTTGCTAGATACCGCTTATCACTTGTAGTATTTAATAGATACTATGGCCAATTTTATAGGTATCTAGAATATGGTCACACACATAGAACATATGAAAGTGTAGAATATTTAAGTGGAGTAAAGTTGCATTTCATATATTGTGTATATTAAACTGTGTGACAATATGATTAGATACACAAACATATATATAAATAAATATTTATATTTGGACATTTTAATTATATGATGATTAAGTATGTCAAATATAATTAATAATATATATGTATATATATATATATATATATATATATATATCTTTGGATATATATGTATAAATAATAAATTGTTTTTTATTTTATTATTATTATTGAGGCACAAAATATATTTATATATTTGATATTTGGACATTTTAATTATATTATAATTAAGTTTGTCAAATATTGTTTGAGGAACAAAATATAACATTATACATACATACATACATACATACATACATACATATATATATATATATATATTAAACGTTATATTATTTATTTTGTGTTAATTATGTGATAATTAAAGTTGACAAAATAAATTGGAAACTTCCTTAAAGTGATGATTCGAAATTCTCTAAGTGGAATAAGAATGGGATTTGATTTCTTTCCTAAACATTAAAAGGAACATTCCCATTAGGAATAGAAATGAGGATTATGCTCCTTATAAATAGGAGATCATCCCACCCCTTTTGATCATCCATAATTTTTGCCCTCTGTCTTTCTTAAGAGACAAAAAGTTTGTTTTGTTCTCTTGATTCTTTACATCAAATATTTTATATTTTAGAAATATTCTAGAGAAAAATTACTAGCATAATTTTCTCTAGAACACTCTTCATTGTTCGTGTGTTTCAACTAGAGGTCATATACTTTTATGGCTAGCTCTTGGACCAATCTTCCAACCTACACATATCGTTGCTTGCTCGCCAAGAAAGGTATATTCTTTAACAATAACTTATAATGATCATAAGAGGTCTTGGGTGGATCTACGTTTGGACATTAAAATTTTGTTTTCCACTGCCTATCCAACAGTAGAACCCAACAAAATCTACGTGTGATGAACACTTTGTATAGTGAAATCTTTAATTTGAGCCATCTTGAAGAAAATGTTTGATATTTGCATGATGCATTCTGGTATTAAAAATAAATATTTTCTGACTTGCACTAGCCATGTAGCTTAGAATAATATTTTTGGTTAACTCATAATATTCATGAACAATATTATTCAATTCCAACACAAATACAACGGGGATTAGATGAAGTAATATTACAAATGCAACTCTAAGTCTAATCTTCCAAGATTTGCAAACTCGTCATAACTAGCCCCAGGACCCGGGAAAGCTTTAGCAAACTCTAGTTTGTCTAAAAGCTCAACAACGAAGAAATGAAAAGTTTCCTCTGAATCAAAACCATGAAGTTCTTTCTCACCGCATCATCTAGAAATTTGAGAAATTTATTGAAATAACCGTCAATGTTCAAGAGACCAATGTGTCTAATGTGCAACCCTTCACATGCCCATGAGATTAAGGTGAACAAACCTTCGATAGTATCAACTCCTCCGGGAAGTACGATAAAAGCCTCCACAACATGATTCATCTCAAAATACTTATGGTCATCTTAAAATTTTCTTTCTATTCTCCATTCATAGGAAGTGACTTATGTTTTGGTCATATTCAGTGCAAATTTCACTTTTTAATAATCGTCTTTATATGGGTTTTTGTTTGTGCATGTTTATTTTTGGATCATCCACTATAGACAAGTGTTTGAGACCCAAATAAGCAATGTTGTTCATAGACTGAGATATGTCTCTTTTTTACTTTCTAGCACTCTCTATATATGATGGCCTGATTTTTTCAAATGTGTACTTACTGTTTATTTTGAATGACTTGATTAAACAGTCTTAAACTTAATTTTTACTTTTCCCTATGTATGATGGTATGAACTAACTAGCGTGTGGTTATATTAGTAGCATTTACATTTACATTGTGGGAGTTGGAAATTCTTTTTACAATGCAACAAAGAAGAGAATGATTGGGCATCCCTTGATCTAGCTAGAAAGCGATTGGTCAAGAAGGTATAGAAACAGAACATCTATGATCTCATGAGCACAAGAGACAAATCGACAGCCACGTAGTTGGACGGTACGAGCTTAAATAACCAGTTTGTGCCGATTCTCACCGATTTACTGTAACACCCCAACCCACGTGACCCGAATACAATGACCAGCGGATCGGGTTGCTACTAGATTGGCATTCAGACACAATAAATTTCAAAACAATTTAAAAACATTTAATTCAAAACGATATTTAAATATCCATCGGAGTTCACAAAACGGTGCGGAAGCCTTTAAGTATTTAATCAAAATACAACTTTGGGTTTTTGCCCTTAAAAACACAATTAATTTAAATGCAATAGCTAAACTAGATAGCTCCTCCAGCCAGCATCCATCCACCTCTCTGCCCCTGCTGCCCTCCAGGATATTTCCTTATTCATCATTCTTATTACCTACGTGTAGCAAATAGGAAAAAGGGCTACACGCTCAGCATTGAAGCTGAGTGGAATCTATCTAACGTTCGACTACGCACATAGACGAACCCACTAGCTCATA